GCCCTTAAATTATATCATGTCACAATATTTTCTTGCAACAGAATAAAACACAGACGTAATCTCCTTTAATTTAAATTCAGAACACCTAATGATTTGCTTTTTGATTTTAGTCACTGTAGTGTCTGTATTTTATTGGGCGGTTGCAAGAAGTGTTGCATTAACAGTATATGTAAGATTGTCAAGAGTGTGAATATCCTTCCAAATTCCAAATGTGTGAATTGCAAGTTGACGATTGTATATTTGTATTAATCACATAAATTAAGCGCACATCAAACTCTTCTACCCTCCAATTTCATTCTTTACTTTTTAGGCCCCATTTGCTTTTCCCTAAGTTATTTATCCGGGAAAATGCAATTACCTAGGCAAGTTTTTTTTGGGAAATACTTACCTAAATAGGTGTATTTACCCATGTTCTTTTATTTCTCAAATAAAAAAGGAAATGATCATTTTAACCATAAAATTTCATTATTAAAAGGGGCATTTTTGTCCTATTCAAGTGTTGAAAAATTTCCTCCCAAGTGGGAAAATTATTTACCCACCTACCAGAAAAATAAACTTCCCCTGGTCCTCACATTAATCTAAAAAAAGAACATGAGATTCTTGGTCAATGAGAACCAAAATCCTATTAACCAATTTTCTCCTCTCAAAATTCAAAAAAAGAACGCCCCCTTAATATCCACAATCCATTAGCCAAGTGAGAAAAATTGCCTAGATTAGGATTTTTGAAAACAGATATTAAATTATGTATCTAATGGCAGAAAGGCTCACTTAAGTTAATGAGTTTAGTTGGGCCTACTAGATACTAAGCAAGCCAATCATTGTTTTTTGGTAGAAAAAAATGTGCGCTCCAATCAACGTAAAATTTTTGTTGGTTGTTAATTAAAGTGGGATTTAATTATTTAAGCATGGGTTAGGTTTAAAGTAGAGAAAATGGAAGAACACAGTTGGTGCTTTCCAACTTTCTATTTGACATGGAAAAGCATGTGGTTACATATGATTTTATTATCAGACAACACAGATACACACACACTCTGAAGTCCAAAAGAATCACAAAATATTTAGTGGGGTGTACTTTGCTCTTTATTTTTGGGAAAATTGCTTAAATTTCTTCTATACTTTTCAAAATGGGTTGAAACCTCCCCTACCTTTTAGAAATGGGCTTAAACATTCCGCATCAGTTGTGTGATGACAAGAAAACCCTCCAAAAGTTAGGCTTCTCTTACCTGTTATACAGGCAGCCAAGTTTGAATCTTTGTAATTACATTTATTATTCAGGGTTAATAGGCATTATATACATCGGATCTTGCTTCAAATGGAATTCAAATAGGTGATAGGGCTCATGGGCTTTCACCCATTCCATGCGTTGGTTATCTTGGAAACCCATACAATGTGTCCTGTATTGGAAAAATCTATGCTGCTAGAAAGACATGATATTGGAAGGGCTTTGAACGATTAAATCCCATGCGAATTTTGATAAATACCATCTGATTGGTTATCATTTTTATGATACCTGTTAATTGGTTGTCGATTTTTAAAACCTTAGAGATAGCATTGTGAAATACTCTATTTGCAAAGGAATTTGGAATTACCAATTACCATAAAATAATTTGGAAAATCTATAATAAGTCAATCTTTGGATTTCTTTCTCTCATTTTAAATGAAGAGAAATGCTAGTAATTATTATTTTATGCAACTCTTTGAATTTTAACACTAAAAACAATGTGGGACCATGATCCCACCATGTAATTGGGGCAAAGTTTCTAAGAGTTGCCTAAATTGGTTGTTTACTGGAATACTCAATGAATAATAGGGAATTCACTCACCAAAAGATGAAGGAGAACTGAGAAGGGCTTACTTAAAGTATAAGCCTTACATTGTGTGTGTTTCTTTCTAATCAACAATCTGAAGTTCTGAACAAAAAAATTATACTCCACCAAGAGTTGCCTAATTAAATTGGTTATTTAGTACTGGGATTCCTCTTAAATGACTAATAAGGTTCATTCATCAAAAGAGGGAGAAGAATTGTGAAAAAGTTTAGGCCATACATTGTGCTTGTTTCATTATTGACAACAACAATTTGAACAGAAAAAATATATTCCCCCACCAAGAGTTGTCTAGTTAAATATTTACTGGAATTTATTCTTCTTCAATGAATAATAGGGTTGACTCAGAGAGAGGAGAATTGAGAAGGGTTTTTTTAAGTTTTGGCCTTAAATTGTGTTTGTTTCATTGAAAACATAATCTGTATCAACCAGATCAACCAGCCATAGAATATGGAAGAATGCTAATAAACAATGGGTTTATGCAGCTCTTGAATACCTCCACACTGGGACTCATGTTTAACTTTGTTTTGTCTTTGGGGTGATGCATGAAGGAGTTGCATAATCTCTCTCTCTCTCTATATATATCTTTTCACTTGGCAATTTAGCATTCAAAAGATATCATGCAAATCAACCATGATTGTCTAGTCAATTCCTTTTTGAATAGCCCTTGGAAAGTGAGCAAAAGTCCACAAAAACATACACTGATTGGATGTTCAGGATCATCAATCAGTAAGTGTTTGTCAGGCCACAATTCGACTTCGTGTACCCTTAGAGCAGGCGGATAGGCACAGACAGACAATCATTCATGGATGGTGTGGATCATCTCATAGGATTCGTGGACCATCATTAGTAAGTGTTTCTTCAACTTTGGATCACTTTTTTCAAGACGACCATCATTAGTAATGGACCCAGACACAGAACCAATCTTTACTTGTTTGAATTATTCAAAATAGAAGCATGTGTTGGGGGGACTTGCCTGATTTGTGCAGGTACAAAACCATGTGGGTAAAGCCAGCTTCCATGACTTTAAATAACAAAAAGGGTCACAAATCTTTAGCAGTCATCCAGCGGCCATGTGATCACCTATTCAGATCAGTTTTGCAGTGGGGTTTGTAAAAGAATGTTTCATTCTTTTCTGGACATTAGAAGAGCGACATTTTGAATAGTTTTTGTTAGGAGAAACGTACTTTTTAATTCTAGAACATGTAAGCCCACTTCCTTGTGAGCCTTTTCAATGGAGGAAGTAATATACTGGGGAATTATTCTGATCGATGCTTCAACGGTTAAGCTCCTCCAAGAATATCCCCATTCCCTATTCCACAGACCAACTGAATACTTTTTTTAAAACCAATTTCAGCCCTCAAAAGCTGCACCTTAATAGAAATGTGCTGACTCACTGATGGATTGAACTGGTATCTTTTGATTGTGGTTCATCAGTTGGGTTACGTTTCAAATTATGAATGATCAATATAAAGTTAGTAAACATAATGCTCTGGTTAGGTTTAGAAATAATCTGTTCATCTTTCTAATTTGGTAATTGGTAAACTCTGGCAACTGTAGGCTTTCACCCACTTGAATTCAATATTATAAGAAGCATGTGGCGTTCAGGATTTTTGGAATTTGAATATAAAACATGCTGCGGATTTAAGCTTTCTTTATGAAGTGGAAAAGGTGGTTAGGAATCAGTCGATATCATTGCTAAAATCTTTAATAGTAGGTTTACTAGTTTCCTAGCAAGAGCACTTCAGTACTAATTGACTGAAACCCTTGTTGGATCAAGATTTTACCTAAAAGATAGACTAAATAAAAGAAACAAAAATAAACTCTTCTGTTACTGACTCACACTAGTTCTTTTTGAAATGGACCAATGCCCTAATCCTTTCTCGACCCAAGAGGACTAATTCAAGCATCTCATTTTCTACTAAATAAATGTAAGGATCAGTTTGGTTTACAGTCGGAATTGAAATCTTTTGGAATTGGAATCGGAGTGGTCCATTCCCATATTCTGTTTGGTTCAGACGGAAATAGGAATAGAAATGAGAATCAGTCTTTCAAATAGGAGAATGCCATTTCAGCAAGAATGAAAATGGGATTCTGATTCTATCCAATCAGAATAATCCATTTTAATTTCGATTCCAGACATCCATTCCCACAAACCAAACGGGGCCTAAATTGTTATGAAAAATGATTATGGATAGGAAATTGGAGTTAACAAGTTATATCACAAAGTTTGGACCCATGTGCCATAAAGGCCCAGTTAGTTTTTCTATAAATTGAGAGGGATTCCATGTTTTGGTAAGCGTGAGTCCTACGGTAAATTGCGTTTTAATTTCAGGAATATCACTGACCCACTTATTTAAGGTAATATTATATTAATATTTATCTCCTAACTTTTCCACAAAAGTAAAATTAACAAAATATTATGAAACAAAATTATTCTAATAATAACATTTTATGAATACAAATGATCAATTGTTTAACTTACTTGTAAACCACTTTTTGATTAGAAATCAATCAGGAACTCAAGTGGCCATAGCTGTAGTGCACTAGCGCTAATTCTATGAGCAGTATCCATCACTAAGAGACTTAATAAATGTGCTTGTCTCAAAATATGTCATTACAGCCTAATGTGTTTCTAGGCAAGCTTTTCTAAGTACACAGATCTGGTTTCAGCTGAAATTTGAGTTAATACAAGAGAACATGCCATGGCATTAATTAACTAAACCTCTACCGAAGCCTCGTCATCGTTTGATTTAATGGTAAAATCTCAAACTGAAGAGAAAGTAAGAACAGCCACTCTGTGACAGGGATCAAACCATAGAGTTTCCAAAGAAAAAATAAAAAAAATGCTAAATGTTAGTCCATGCCCATGTCCAGCTCCCAAGGTCAAAGCAGGTCATTTACTTTGTTCTGGGGTTATTTGGGAAATTTCCATACTTAATTGTTTACGTGTAAAGCAGCAAGCATTTTCGAATATCTCTTCATATTTTTGCAGGTTAGTTTGTGAAATTGTATGAAATGGTAATATAATATAATAATATATAGTTCCGTATGGGAACCGTTGGGTTGGAATCTAAGAGAACACCTTTTTTTTTGTTTGTCACTGTCACACGTCAACTGTAGAAGGAAAGGCTCAACAAAATGTAGCATTTAGAGTGAAAAAAATCCATCTTTTTCTTGTTTTTATTATTCAACTGAGAAATGATCATACCGGTCTGGTATATTCTCTTCTAACACTATGAATTTGATAGTCTCCACTCTATATCTTTGTGTGTATCGTTGGACGTAAAAGCACTCAGAGACCTTGCCGCTTGAAGTCACTAACTAGACAAGAGAGACAGAGAACGCAAGGACAAAGAAAGCTCAGTAGGTTAGCAGAGAAGTATCTTCTCTGCAGGTCTGCCATGGTTGGCTGGTTCCAAATGGAATGATGGATGGGATTTGGGGAGGGTATTGGCCTCTCTGAATTCCAAATACTTCCCTTTTCTTGGGTGGCCACTGTCTGTGATCAGCTTCTTTGGCGAAGAAAGAACGGGACGGGAGAAGAGAAAAAGAACGACGTAAAGCTATTGATCCAGCTCTGGGTCGAGCTTCTTTGATCACTTCGTTCTCTAGGCTGGGAATTCAAGCTTCTTTGAGTCTGCAGTTTGCTCGACTGTATTTACAGTTGGATTGGTTACCATTAGAACAGGTGATGCTTTTACTTATTTTGCAACATTGACTTCGTTCTCTGCTTTTGCCTTTACTTTCTGGGTCTTTCTGAATCACTCTAATTTAGTTTTCTGGTGATACCAAAGGAATTCAGCCATGTTTATCCCATGTTTTGGTTTACTTGGTGATATTGATTCTTCCTTTCCTTTTTTCTTCTACTCAACTCTAAACGAAATAGTTCTGAAATTTGAGCTTTTTTTATATATATATATTTTCATCATGAGACTTCTTAAGGGTGAATTGAATTTGAATTTCTAGAAGGCATATATTCAACATTAAACTCACGTAATTTGTTTATTCTGGAATTATAATAGTTGATCACTATGTCTTCACTCGACAAGAGGAAAAAGGAGCAGGGATGAATTTGAATTTCCTGGCAGTTTTAATGTCTAGTTCCTTTTTTTTCCTCCCGCAGAGATAAAATTCTGGAATTGGTTGCCCAAGGATGTTATTTTTATTCATTCAAATAGGCATTAGGTGGAAAGCTATTTAACAGTTGACGTTAGATGTTAGGTTTCAGTACTCAAAGAACTAAATCTTTCATGAAGAAAAACTTGATGCTCAATTCCTTCACTGGATTTAGGAAGGAGATTTTATTTGGTTGAGATTCTTTTTATGTCTTCTTGCTGACAAGCTTGAGAGCACGGGTCTGAGAACGACCATTTTATAAAAAAAGCAAAAAAAAAAAAAAAGTCAAAGGTTTGGTCTGTATCCAGTCTACCCTCACAAGACCCCAATAACAGCACCATCATTAGGTAATGGCCCTTATTTTCCTATTGATCTAAACTGTTTTCTTAGATGCTGTTCTCTCTTCATACACTGGGAACCATGCAGACTGAAACCAAAAACAATTCAGTATTAGAGTCCTGTATTCCCAGATTGTTCTCTCTCTCCCTGTTCAGTGAATAGAATTAACATGCTTTTTTATTACAGGTTTGGCAGCAGAGTTGAGTGAATTCAGCATCTCTTTCAACTCTTATCTAGTCAAGGTTGTTAAGATTTCCACTTGTGAACCTTCAAGTTATTTTGGTGGCTTGGCTGTAACGTGGCTCGAATCAAACTGGATATGTTCTCTATTGGTTGAGAGAATGCTTTTCTTTGGGCAAATCTCCTTTGGCATTAAAGTGTTTTGGTGTTTTTGAGGGCACATCTCCTATGTTGAGAAGCTATAGAGAACTTTAACTGTTGATGCAATAAATCTCAGGAGCAGTAGATTATTGATCTTTCAAGAAAGATCTTTGGCAGTACATGAGTACTTGAGAACACTAAAACTTCAGTTGGAATTATTTTTCTCAGGGAATTTGATAACAAACTTAAAAGATTCAGATCTGTTGGGCAAATCCCCTTTGGAAGTGATAACTTTTTAAAGCAAGTTTATCTGTTATTGGGCAGATCTCCTTTGGCATTTATTCTTGTGGTACTTCATTCCAGTACCTGCACAAACATCCTTCAGCAGTCAGTCCTTATGTCCACATAGCTAGGGGTGTTGGGCAAATCTCCTTTGGCAACTAGACCTGGTGGAAACTTTATCCCTGATTGTTCAGAAAAACGTGGGCAACTGTCCTAGTGGAAAATCTCCTTTTGGTAGTTGTTTCTTGAATATTTAACAGCAGCTGTTTGGAGAATCTCCATTTGCAGCTAATCCTTGTGGAGATCTCTGGTTGCTGGGCAAATCTTCTTTGGCACTTGGAATTTTCAAAACGAGGTTTTCTGTAGTGCACTACTGTTACTATTTCTCATTTGATGTTGAAGTTGAATACCAACTACAGATCCCTATTGCAGTCTATACAATACAATATCTGAAAGATTGGGCTTCAGGTGTTGCTGTTTAAATTTCTTCAACAGTAAATTTGAAGGTGGTCCTCTCTCTCTCTCTCACACATGTGTATTCATTTATCTTTACTTTGGCTTTTGTTTTAACCTTAGAACTCCTGAAGTGCATTCATATATTTCCACGTTACAAAAGACTAGATGTATTTGGTTGATATCTACATTTTATTTTGCTTCATCTCTGTACAGAAGTTACTCTTCTAATTACATTACATGATCCTTCAACAAACATTCTCTTTCAATTGTGTGTCACCTTTATTCCTGGTTAGATATATCTGCTTTCTCATAAGTTATTCATTCAAGGAAAGCATCCTTTTATTGGATTGTGAGTGAAGAACTTGATGCTAACAAACACAATTCCACCTATTAATGCCATGGAGGGATCTTGTGGCTGAACCACACCATCTGCCAGATATTGGACCTATTAGAGTGGTCATGTTCTCAACTCCATAATTCAAATCAGGCCTATACCCGAGCTTGTATTGGAACATTGGCAAGGCATTTTAGCTAACCTTTTTTAGGGTGGAGAGAGGAATTTGGAGACTCCTACTGAGGTCCAAACTAAGTTGCCACATGGAAGATCTGTAGGTCATTTAGGAAAGCTCACTAATGTCCCAACTAGCAAAGTAATTCCATATATATATAGATGTATATATGTATATGTATATTTATATAGACGCTTATGTATATGCATAGGCACAGAAATTATACACAATTGATTTTTGAAATTAATCTCTGGTAAATTCTTCAGGCATCTAAAAGATGGAAATTCTCCTTAGTGAGTCGGATTGTGAAAGCTTCAGTGAGAGTAGTGGCAGTGATTATCAAGATGACATTGAATCCATGTATGGTGGGAAGGCTCAGAGCATTTTATCAAACCTGGAGGAGAGCATTGAAAAGATTGATGATTTCCTTGCATTTGAAAGAGGATTTTTACATGGGGACATTGTATGCTCAGCAACCGATCCGTCTGGGCAGATGGGAAGAGTGATGGATGTGGATATGGTTGTGGATTTAGAAACTGTTTGTGGTGAAGTTATAAAAAATGTAAACAGTAAGAACCTTCTAAGGATCTGCTCTTTCTCATCGGGAGACTATGTAGTTCATGGGCCATGGCTTGGAAGAGTTCACAAAGTAGTTGATCGGGTCACTATTGTATTTGATGATGGGGCAAAATGCGAGTTAACTGCAGCTGGTCCAGAAACTCTCCTACCTATGTCTTCCAACTTGCTTGATGATGCACAGTATCCTTATTATCCTGGTCAAAATGTCCGTGCTAGCTCTTCCACTATTTTCAAGACAGCAAAGTGGCTGTCTGGTGTATGGAAGGAAAACCGGTATGAAGGTACTGTGTGTCATGTGGAAGCAGGATTGGTATATGTTGATTGGGTTGCATCTGCTATTGTCGGTTATGACATGAATCTCCCTGCTCCTTCTTGTCAGCAGGATTCGAAGGACCTAACTTTATTGTCCTGCTTTCCTTATGCTAATTGGCAGCTGGGTGATTGGTGTTTACTTCCAGTTGATGATCAGAGGGGTACTCAGGAGCAGGTTTTTCTTAATTTTGATATTCAAAGTCTTACCAACTGGAGGAAAAGATTACAACAACAACAAATTGATCTCAATCTCTGTTTTCAAGAAATGTATGTTATCGTGAAGATAAAAACTAAAGTTGATGTCCTATGGCAGGATGGTAGCCACTCAATTGGCTTAGATTCACAGTCCTTGTTCCCAGTAAACAGTGTTGGTGATCATGAATTTTGGCCTGAACAACTTGTTCTTGAGAAGTGCACCAATGATGATTTACATGTTTCTAGTGGCCAAAGATTGGGTATTGTGAAAAGTGTGGATGCAAAGGAACGGACTGTGAATGTAAAATGGAGAACTCCATTTGTTCAAGCAATTGACTTGGGCATAGAGTGTGTTGAGGAAACTGTGAGTGCATATGAACTGATTGAGCATCCTGATTGCTCTTATTCCCACGGGGATGTTGTTTTCAAATTTAAAAAGAATAATATTCAAGCTGAAGGCATGAATGAAAACCATGACAATCACCTGAAAACTGACATGGAAAAGTGTTCTTTTCAGCTGTCAGGAGAGAGCCATCTTAAAAGTAAGGACAATATAGAGGATTGTGACCACTTCACTAATAATTGTTATCTATCCTGCATAGGAATAGTTACTGGGTTTTTCAATGGAAGCATTGAAGTGAGGTGGGCCAATGGTCTTACATCTAAGGTATGTAAATAAGTTCTTGTCATCTTTCTAAAACTGTATGCTTTACTTGTAGTTTAGATTTTCATGTGATGCAAGATGGTTGATGCATTTTCTTTTAATTTTGAATGAATGCCAGATCAGTGTAATATTAGTTTTCCTCTAAAAATATTGCTGGGTATATTGCTAGTGAGTTTCCTTCTTTCTTTCTTTCTTTTTTTGCAGAATGGATCTCATAAGCAATTAATAACTTGACTTCATAGGGAATGGTAAACAAGAGATAATGGTTCTTAAAACAAAGTGTATATATGTGCATTCATGCCTAAAAGGCCACTACCCAATGTTGGACCTAGCAATCTGGGGTTTTGGGTGGGGTAGACTGGCTATGTCCTAACCTTTTGCATTTTTCTTCCACACAAAGTGGCAATCCTCAGATTCAAACTTGTGTTCTCACACATGCCAGCCCGAGATTTTACCATTACACCAGGCAATGGCCCCTATATGTGCATTACATCTATATGTATTATATATTGTTTTTATATATACAGAGTGGATAACAGATGTTAAGCTCTGAAAGGTTATGGTCATGCAGGTTACAAGTAGAAAAGGGTTTTAGGATTTATTAAAAGGTCTTAGGGATGATGGAATATGGCAATATGTTTTATTGTTGATCAAGAGGGTTTAGGGGTTCTAACATGGAGTTAGGGCGAAAAATTAAGGTTTAGCGTTTACAGCAAGGTTTATGGATGAATATAGATAAAATTTTGGGCCTGACCAGATATGAGGAATGAAGAGGGAAAATCAAGAAAATAGATCTTGATAGGTAAGATCTGGAACTGGTGAGCTGTTCTTGAAAGTCCAATTAGGAAGCCCGTTGGGGGCAATTCTTGAGGCCTGTAAAAAAGTTCAATTTCAAAGATCATAGAATCAGAAGGATAATCAACAGTCATTTTGTGGATATCTCCATGAATATGGATATTCTGCCATATTGTCTTTGTTGACTTGCACTTTAGCTGGCAGGGTTGCAGTTGTAGATTAGAAATCATTTTTTAATCCATCTTGCCATTTTCTTTTTCTTTTGATTTTTATGTATTTATAAGGAGCCTTTAACTGTGGGTTAAGGATCTGGTAAATTGTTTTCAGGTTGGGCCTTATGAAATTGTTGGAATTGAAAAATCTGAGGAATCAGAATCAGCTGCAACTCATGTGCCATATGATGGAGCTATTGAGGATAGTTTGAGTAAAGGCATGCTTGATCATGGCAAACAATCTTCGGAATTGAAAGAAAAGGTGAGGCCCAACAAAAATTCTTTCAGTCAGTAAGTCAGAATGTTTGTCTTATGTCTATGCACCCATATGCATGAACTTGATAAAATGAAAAGGTACTATTCATGCAGGTGCCAGAGAAGGCTTTTGAAGCTGTTGGTGAAGAATGCAAGAAAGATATATTTGAAACTAGTGTCTTTTCTTTTCCGCGAGCTGCTATTGGGTTTTTCTCAAATGTTGCTGCAAGTTTATTTGGTTCCTGTGGTTCCATTTCACTTTCAGGCTCAATGAATTCCAGTCATTTTGGTGGTCTCATTGGAAAATGCAAACCTGATCTCAACAGGACACCTTTAGAAAACATGGCCAAATCAGGATCTCTCCATGAGAAAGAAGAGCTTAAATATTGCAATGTGAACATTGAGGGACGACCTTCAGTTGTGGACGATCTTCTGAAATTTAGAGAGACAAATTTGAAACAGAAGATAGAAAAGGATCAAGGGGAAAAAGGGTTAATTCAATCAGGCAGTGAGAATTTGGTACTTTTTAAGCAATTTGATATTGTAAGTAATTGCAAAGACCACCATTTTGTCAATGGTTCTGGAAAGGAATTGATATTGTCTCAGGTAAGATCCATCAATATCTTTAGCTACACCAGTTATGGTTGTCATTCAAACCAGTCAAGATAAAATTGTGTTTTTTTCCTTAACAGATGAAAAAATGTTGGTTGAGAAAGGTACAGCAAGAGTGGAGCATTCTAGAGAAAGATCTTCCTGGTCAGTCCTTTTCCTTTTCTCCTGTTTGAGTTTGAATCACATTAAAAGCATTTTATCAAGTTATTTGCATTATTGCTAAATTGCTAGTCAAGATTGGTTTTCTGTATCATGTTATCTAGTAATGTGGTAGCACCAGTAAGTTCCCAGCTACATGATATGCTGATGCTCAATTGATGCTTTATTGTGTTGGTCCCGTGGCTCTTTTGAGTAAAGATACTGGTATTTGACCCTGATTGATGTCCAGATTCTTGTCATTATCTTTATTCCTTGAAAACGTTCAAGATACATTCATGCAACATAAGATACATGAAAGAATACCATGCTTATTTTTGTAAAAGTTACAAAAAATTGCAACATATTGGGGCAGTAGGGGTGTCCTGATATGCTAAATACAAGGTATTTTGGGGTTTGATGATTTTCAGGGGGTAACCAGTAAGGGTGTCAATGGACCAGTTTTGGACTGGACCCCATCCAAACCAAAATTAACTTGGACAGATTGGACGGATCAAGAAGACATATTGGATTGGACCTGGTCCATCCGTAATGAATTTCTATTGGATTGAGCCAATATCTGGTCCATTGAAAGAAGATAAGAATATAGGTGTCAATGGACCAGGTTTGGGTTAGAATGAATCTAAATTAAAACAAATTTGAACAGATTGGACGGTCCAGACATTGAATTGGGCCGGTCCAAAATATTAATTGGATTGGATTGGGCCTGGTCCATTTGTAATGGACTTACATTGGACTGGATCGGATTGGACCAAATCCAGTCCAATTGACACCCCTAGTAGCCAGGCCTAAGACCGACGCCCTATGAAAATTTGGAAAAAACTAAAAAAAAAGAGGGACGTACTTTTTAAACACCCAATGTGCAAGTTCATGTGTATATACTTTGAACCTTGATTTTAGTTAAAGTTGGGTTACTTTATAGTATGAAAGATCGTCATATACTAAGAAGAATTGAAGAACAACAAATGTGGTCAGATATAAAGCAATTACTTACATGGATGATATGATAATAAAAATGAAGAAGTTAATGTAATCAGTTGTAACAACTCTCCAATTTAGGCATAAAAACTGAGAGATATTCATTGAACTTTCCTCTTGAGAACTTATGGCAATGACAAATAGTTTGCCATGGATCTGTTCTAGATATCTCAATGACATTTAACAGAGTAAACTTTTTAAAGAAATTTAAATATTAGTAATGTGCGTATCGTTAAACCATTATGAATATGGTAGTTTTTTTAACCTTTCTATGATAGGTATTGATTAGGAAACGGTAGTTGATCATTTCATAGAGAGAGTAACAATGAAAGAACGAAAAAAAAAATCATTTATAATTTTATACATCTAAAACATTAGGAGATGATTGGCTCAATTCAGATGATCTTGGATGGGAGAAGAGTGACTGTGTGTGTCTATATTTGATTAAGGGGGTGAGGCGAAATATCCTAGAGTCGGAAGCTCTTAACCAACACTTTCTGTTTCCTTCTGAGGTTCAAGGGGAGATACTCATGCTTGTTATGACTTTAAATGAAACTGTATTGAACACAACACAAATTTAGCCGATCTTATACTTCATCATTTTTATTCGACTGAATTTTCACTGCTCTTTTTGCTCTAGATGAAATTACACAAACGTTTTCTATGTTGTATTTGTGCCATATATGGGGGTGACAAGGATCGAACACTAGGCCACTTGGTCTAAATGGCTCTGATACCATCTCAAAGAACCATTCAACCTAAAAGCTTAAGCTATTAGGTGAGGTCCTTGAATAGGTTGATATTCTCTAACAGGAATATATTGAGAAAGGGCTTTTTGAGAAAATATACTTCTTTTTTGTTTAGAAGTAATAACTTTTCAACCTCAACAGATACAATCTATGTTCTCATTTATGAAGAAAGGACGGATCTTTTGACTGAATTTTCACTATACTTATTTTTATCTTAGAAGTAACATCTTTTCACTATTCTTTTTTCTCTAGATGAAATTACACAAACGTTTTCTATGTTGTATACTTGTATTTGTGCCATATATGTATTTACTTACTATTGTGCTCTGCCATTTCTTGAATTGGAATATATTGAGAAAGGGTTTTTTTTTTGTGCAAATATACTTCTTTTTCTCTTAGAAGTAATGACTTTTCAATCTCAACAGATACAATCTATGTTCGCATTTATGAAGAAAGGATGGATCTTTTGAGGGCGGCCATTGTTGGGGCACCTGGAACTCCATATCATGATGGCCTCTTCTTCTTTGACTTTTTCCTTCCTCCAGATTATCCCCATGAACCACCTGTAAGTGTGTCATTTTTTAGTATTTTCATTCAGTTTTATCATTGCATTGAAGCAATGACTACTTTCTTTGGCCTCTCTAGTTGAAGCAATTACTTGTCAGTGCCTAGGTGCTGATTAGATGACCAGAAAAAAGATGTATTTTAAATTTAAGAGATTGATGCAATCCATAAATAAGTTAAATAAAGATTGAAAATATGAAAAAAAGTTAAAATGATGATATTAAAGATTCAGTTTACAATCTTTGTTTTGCAAACATAATAGAAGTTAGGCTGGATATGCTAGGATGGAGAGTTATAGCCTTCTTTTTAAAAGAAAAAAATGCAACCATGTTTGTTGAACCCCTTGTTTGCGGCTACTCCATAGATTAAAGATTCAGTTTACAATCTTTGTTGAACCCCTTGTTTGTGGCTACTCCATAGAAGCACAGGGTTTTTCTTTTTGGTGGTATTGCACATTTCACATTAGTGGGGAATATGTAATACCACGGAGAGTCTGCATTTCTATGGATTTGATCTATGCCTCCATTTTTGGACTGATGCTTAGCAGCAAACAATTTGTTGGAACTTGGAAGAAAAAAGAACCTATTTTCCACTTAATTTTTTACCTTTTTCTATTTTATATGCCATCAACCAACCATGTTCAATAAAAAATACATGAAGCAATGGGATACATATAAAAATGAAAGCATACACCATATTATTTTAAGTAATTGGAGATAGACACAAGCAAATAAAGCTAAAAAAAACTGTGATCAACTAGTCGACCTAGTCAATGCTAGTTATCCCAGGTGACTACAACATGAGTATACGTATTGTCCGACTAGTTAGTGAAGCATTAGTCCAGTCATCGACTGACTAGTTGGGCAACTAGTCAGCACTAATAATACTGGTTTGTCTCATTTTCTTGGGCAACTTACACACTTTCTTTGCAATTAAGTATGCACGTATTGTGAAGGCATGTAGGTTTAATGTGTATATTTGCAAACATGAATGTCCAATCTAAACGAAATTTTGTGCAGTTGGTGCACTACAATTCTGGAGGGCTTCGTCTCAACCCAAATCTGTATGAGTCAGGAAGGATCTGTCTCAGTCTCCTCAAGACATGGACAGGCACAGGCACAGAAGTATGGAATCCAGTAAACTCCACCATTCTTCAGGTCCTCCTTTCCCTCCAGGCACTTGTACTTAATGAGAAGCCATACTTCAATGAGGCGGGATATGATAAACATATAGGAAGAGCTGAGGGAGAGAAAAATTCTGTTACATATAATGAGAATGCTTTCCTTCTCTCTTGCAAGTCCATGCTATACGTTCTACGAAACCCACCCATGGTACGATAAAGTATCCATTCTTAAATCTTAGTATTATAACTCTTTCTTCATAAGTATCACAAAAAAGTTGAACAGGATCAGTTTTATTTATTAATTTTTATCTGATCCAGCATTTTGAGGCCCTGGTGGAAGAGCACTTCCGAAGTCGCTCACGCTCCATTCTCCTCGCTTGCAAGGAATATATGGAAGGTTGCCCAGTTGGCTGTGCATTTGGACGTGGAGTGGCTGAGCAAGAAACTCAAAGGCGCAGTTCCACAGGTTTCAGGATCATGCTAGCAAAGATTTTCCCCCAACTTGTTAAGAGTTTTACAAACAAGGGATTCGATTGCAGCCAATTCATTGATCCAGGGAATGGTGTGGAAAAATAAGTATGTAATCATTAAGGTACTTGTCGTAGACATATCTAAGATGCTAAAGGTTGTACTTTCTGTACTCGTGTACCTTAGTTCCAAAAGAATTCTGGAAAAAAGAGAGAGAAAAGAAGTTATGCATGGTTGACAAAGAATAAAGATAGCTGTTATGTCTCTGCCCACTCAACCAGCAAAGAAAAATGTATTCATTTTTATTACTGAGGTTTGTTGCATACTTGCATATGCTGAATTAATTAAGTAAATAACCAAGAAGAACATGGTGATGTAACTGTGTTGCATAATGGTCTGTTGATTACTTTATGGGTGTTGAGGGACGATTATTTAACTCAACGGGAGATGTAACTATGTTGCTTGATGGCTTGTTAGTAGATTAATGATATTATTTTGGATGTTTTTATGTTTTTCTGTGGCTTCCAATGACAGTAAGAAACAATAAAATGCTAATGTTTGAGAAATATTGGTGCATTGAAACCACATTTCAACTTTGAAGAAAGAGGAAATTTGATCATCTGGCCTCTAGGACCATGATGAACCCCCGTCCTTCACCTTGCCTTAGATTTTGGCGATGACAAGGGACCATGGCCTCAGAAGTCGGCATCTCCTACTCCCTAGGCTCTAGCAATTCTTCTTAATTATGCGTCCCTTGGTGTTTTCAACCCACTGTTGATTTGGTTGGTTGAACAGTTTGAACCGTCACCTGGTCAAGATTTTTGGTCCGGTTTTAGTAAAACCTAGAAATTTAGTCCAAAACCATTGACCCATTAAAAAATAATCCGATCCAAGTGGTTGGACCATTAACTCATTCAACCTGGTGATTAGGTCATGGGTTACACATTTGTGTATGCAAATTGAATCAAATTGCAAATTTTAATATTTTGTACAAATAAAAAATTAAAAACTGAATTAAAGGCATAAATTAAATCTATATATACGTATTGCTGATGTGGCCTGGTCTGACCCATTTAATTTGGACGGTTGAACCAGTGACCCCATGACCCAGAGGCAAAAATGGTTTAACCTCCGGGTCAGTTTTTAAAACATTGGTGTCAACATTCTGTGTTAGAAGAGTATCGGATCTAAGGACCCTCTAGCTTTACAAAGGTATATAAGAGGCCATGAGTCCATGGCTGCTCCCTTCAGAATATGGGGCCGGCCTTATGGTGTCGGAGGAACCTGTAGGAATCAGAGAGATGTCATCATGGTGTAATGTGTCCCAACTATGGTCACTTGACTGTTTAAACCCATATCTGGTAGCAAAGGATTTAGCTTGAGTGGGTGGGAACTAGGAATGTGGGATAAGTAGCGCTCGTGTATGTATTCTTTGTGTGTTAACTAAAAGCATTAGAGGTAAAAGTTAGACCGGGTTTAGGTCAGGTTGAGATCAAGCCTAACCCAACCAGTTGGAACCCCAAGCCAAATTCTAATCCAATCTGATGACTTTGGGCTGGGTTGGGATCAGATTGGCCAAATTGCTTCACCTCTTTTAGTTGATATCTTCTTGTTTTTTGGACTTAATATCAAGTTTAATTCACTTTAGCATTATTTATATGATAATGGAAAAACTATAATAATGCTCGGATACCAACCCGATGCTAGAAAAATTTTCATAAATGGGGTTGAGGAAAGAGATGCAAGGGATAAGTCAAAAAGGGAAGCTTGCCACTCTAAGAAATCTACAAAAGAGATAAAGAGCAATGAGATAAGAGCAAGATAAAACCTGTTAATGGTGAGTCCCTATGGAAAAAAGTATGTGGAAGAATAAGAATGACAATTTTTCAAAACAAATCCACTCCTAATCATATCCTCCTGGATAGGATAAGAATGACAATTGACTTAGATAGCAAAAAACCTTACACCCCCTAGTCAGGAAAAAAAAAAAACATTCTAATTCCATGGAAACATACGGACCAGGGTTCCCTTAGGTTATGTTTGGTTTGAAGGAAAAGGTAGGAAAAGAAAGGAAAAGAAAGAGAAACCAATACAAGGATTGTAAAAGTTTCCCTACCTTTCCCTACATTTTCCTTCAAACCAAACATAGTCTTAAGGTAATTTTTGATGCTTCAAAAGATGGAGATGGTAAGTGTGCGATTGGGGTCATCATGAGAGATGAGATGAGAAGGACGTATGAATTAGGTGTCGTGATATTGGAGTCTCCACTTCTAATGAAGCTGAAGCTTGGGCTGCCCTCGAAGCCCCACATTGTTGCTGCCAAGTTTCTTCAGTCCAAATGCATTACTGAAGGAGATTCGAGTATCGTCATCAATTGTCTGCATGGCTAGATGGAGCCCCTGTGGAACATCAACAGTTTCATCAAAGAATGCCAGGAGATGTGTACAAGACATAAGCCCGAAGTTTCTTGCGTGCATGTCATGAGGGAGGGGAATTTCGCGGCTGATCGTCTTGTGTACCTAGGACACAGTATTTCAGTTTTCAATTCTAAGTATTTCTGATGTGAAGTTACCCTTTATTTGCTTCTTTGATGCTTGGGGGCATTTCTCCAAGCGTCATGAATCTTTTTAGTTTTCTTTGTTTGCACTCCCTGACCTATCAAAAAAAAAAATAAATAAATAAAAGAAAAGCCAAAGGCTCAAATTGTATTTAATTGAATTAAGACATCTTTATATAGATTTGCTTAAAATAACCCCTTAAGTTCTGTAAATAATACGAAAACTATTTACAATGAATCACAAGATTTATGAATTGCTCTAGAAAACACGGATTTAGAAAGTAGAGATATGCATAGAGAAACTTGACAGATTTGTATTTAATGCTTTTTTGGAATCCCACAGTCAAAATTCTGCTCTACTTAAGGTGTTGGAAAGCATACTTTAAGAGTTTTTAGATTTGATATACAAAAATATGCAATTTATGTCTGATTTTCCTGTTAAATGGACTGTAAAATGGGACCAAAAATATGAGATTGCACATTTTCCAGAATAGCTTCGAGTTTAATTTCGAATTTGGCTAATTCTAGTTCTTTAGGAGCACAGAAAATTTTTTCTTTTAGGCCCCATTCTCTTTTCGGTAAGTTACTTATTCGGGTAAATGCATTTAGTTGGGTAAGTTTTTCCTGAGAAACACTTACCCGGGTAAGTGCATTTACCCTTTTTCTTTTATTTGTCATATAAATAAGGCAATTACTATTTTAGCTATAAAAATTCATTATTAAAAAATGTATTTTTGTCTCATTCAAGTGTCACCAACTTTCCCTCTAGGTGGAAAATTTATTTATCCACCTAGGAGATGGGTGCCACTTATCCAGGTAAGTAATACCCAGGAAAATAAACTTTCCTTACTCCTCACATAAATCTGAAAAAAGAACATGAGATTCTTGGTCAATGGGAATCAAAATCCCATTGACCAACTCCCCCTTCTCAAAATCCGAAAAAAGAAGGCCCTCGTCAACTTAAATTATTAATTCATACATAGATGATGAACACACAATTTACCTATACTTTATGAGGTCTTTGCATGGAGTTTTATGCCAGTTTAATTAAATTTTACCCTATTTTATCTTGATTGCAAGAAAGGTTTCAAGGGCAACCAACTCAAGGAAAAGAAGGCTAAAAGCAAGAAAAGAAAGACAAAATTTTATCAAATTCAGCCCAGCCCAGTCATGAGAGAAAGGGAGTATCATTCGGCCCAAGTAGTGCAAGCTAACTCTTTGGAAAAACCCAAGGAAAGAAGCCTAGCAAGAAGGAAATTTCGGCCCAGCAAAGTGGAGGCCCATTTTCAGCACAAAGAATAGCCTAGAGTGCAGCCAACATGTGTTCAAAAGCAAGCTAAGTTGCAGCCCAAATAACAGCCCAAAGGGAGCTAGGGGCGGCAACTCCTAGAAGTTTCTTGAAGAGAAGGAGGGAGCACTCTAGAAAGTTCAAGAGGGGTGTAATACACCCAATTTTAGAGGCTTCAAGAAGAGGCAAGAGCTTCCTTGAAAGCCTATATAAGGAGGCATCTAGAGGGGGGAGAGGTGTTCATTTGCCCAAGTTCAAGGCTCTCCATTCCTTTGGGGTTCGAATTCCTCGAAGAGAAGAAGAGAAAAGAAGGAGCTAGGCGTAAGAAGGAGAAGGGCTGAAGAGATTCAAGCAAAGAAGAAGAGAAGAAGGTGAGTTCGAAATTGGGGAAAATTTGATTGAGAGATCCTTTATTCTATTCCTACTTAGTTTTTATTTTCTTGAGTTCGAATTCAACTTCTATCTATGTAATTTTCTCTTTCTCTCTTTCATTCTTTCTTGTTGTAATCAATGTTGTAAAATTTCAGATTGAGTAATCAAATTTCTTTATCATTCGAGTAGACCAGATCTCTTCTTGTTGTTTCTTGAATAGAGTGTGAATTCTAGATCAGATTGGCCGATTTTATCTCTCACAAACTCAGATCTGAGATTTGTAAGATCTGAATTGCTTGAGAAAGAATTCAGATCTTCAATTTTTAGGTTGACCGATTTGATCTAATGCTTGGAATTTCTAGAGTGCTTGAGAGAGACTCTAGGAATTCAGATCTACTATTCAAGAACTAAATTGCATGCAAGGTTAGAAATAACTTGTATAATTCAATTGGTAATCAATTCATATTTGAATTGATGCCCTTGATGTGTGTTTGAATTAATGCATGCATGAATGATTAGATCCTTGATAGAGATATAAGGATCATCATTCATGCATAGGATGAACATGCTCTTGAAAAAGGTTGTTCATGACCTTGGGGTTTCACCAAACCAATGCTAAATCATGGCCTATTCGAATGAGTTAAGTAGTTTGTTTGCTGAATCATGAAATTGGATTTTCTTGCTTACTCTTTTAACTTGAATAGAAGGTATTTGAGCCAATGCTTTTTAGTTAGATTTTAGCTTAGGATTTTAATTTTTGAATAAAKTTATGATGTTTTGTTAATCAGATAAGAATTGACCAATTTAATATTAGTAGTTGTTTCCTAAATCCTCATGGGAACGATACTCTATTCACCTCTTTACTACATGAACGGCGCCAAAAACTTGATGTGGTTCATTGTGACACTAGCAAATGCACTAGCCGTTCAAATAGTAAAGAGGTGAATAGAGTATCGTTCCCATGAGGATTTAGGAAACAACTACTAATATTAAATTGACCAATTCTTATCTGATTAACAAAACATCATAACTTTATTCAAAAATTAAAA